CTTGCCAGGCAAGCGCTTATTCCACTGAGCCATCTCTCAGCCCCAAAAGCTGTCTTCTGCCTCTACAGCTGTGTACTTTTCTCCCTGGAGACCCAACCTGGTCCCCAGCTATTACAGGCTCTGTAGGGCTTCCCTTGGGGGTAGGGCTGCTCAGCCATAACTACAGTCCCTGTGTTCCTGTTGCCCCAACCTGAGGCCTAGTCAAGGGTCTGTAGAATAGACAGGCTGTGGGGCTTTGACAGTCCTTTCCTTAGGCCAGGCAGCCTGTTTTCAGGCCATATAAATTCCCTTAATCAGACTTCGTCTTCTCTCCAGTGGGTAGAGGTAAGGATTAGACAAGATGATGGATGTCTTAGTTTACTCAGGCTGCAATAGCAAAGTGCCACAGAGCAAGTAGTCATTAATTTTCACACATCTGGGGGTTGGAACTATAAGATCAAGGTGTGAGGAAGGCTAATTTCTTCCTTGACTCATAGCTTTTATCTTGTTCCTTTGTCTTCACATGATGTCCCATTTGTATGTCTTCTTCCTGATCTCTTACGAGGACACCAGTCATCCTGGATTAGGACCTACCCTAATGACTTTTTTTTTTTCCCTTGAGGTGCTGTTGAACCCAGAGTCTTTAGGACTGAGATACATTCCCATTCCCTGTTTTTTTTTTTTTTTTATTTTGAGATAAATTTTTGCTAAGCTGCCAAATTGCCCAGTCTGGGCTTGGACTTGTCATCCTCCTGCCCCAGTCTCCCGGAGTGCTGGGATTACAAGTGGGTAGCACCATGCCTATAGCTTCATTTTGTCTTAATTATTCCTTTAAAGACCTTGTTTCCACACATAATCACATTCTGAGCTGTTTCAACACATGAATTTGTAGGGCACACTACAGCTCATTAAAAAGCATATGTACACAAAGTACATAGCACTGGGCATAACACAGAATCACTCAATAGTGTGATTATAACCAGCCCATACCACCCACCCCCAGGGAGCTCTCAGCTCTGGCTTCAATGGGAACCAGACCCTCACATCCTGACTCAGCCTCCTCTACCCCAGGTAGGCTGGCTCTCACTGCTTGCATTAGCTACAGTGGTTGTGAGCCCTGGGGTTGCATGGCCTTGGGGCTGAATGGCCCTGGGACTGGTGTCTTCCCCACAGACTGGATAGTGTTCCATCGAGGTTTCAGAAACCAAAGAGCTTCTAGAGCCCCAGCCAGCCTCCCCTCTTAAAATGTCACCCCAACTAGGTAGCTGCCAACACTCCAATTTAAATAGTGATATATGTGGAGCCACATTCACCTCACTGGGGCCCTAGCTTTGGTGCCAGCACCAGTGGGACTGCCATAAAACGCCTCATCTGCAGAAAACTGTCTTCCTTCCCTGCCTGTCCCCCTAACCAACCATGATCTTTCTTCACTGCTCAGCACTCTGCTTTTATACAGGCCTAGCACAAAGGCTTGATGCAGGGGAGGAGGGGAGCAGGCACCAGTGCCAAGGGTCTCTGTGTGAATTATAGTGACTGCCAGAAATGGCCATGTGTCCACATGCATAGCAGTCTGCACTGAGCACCTAGAGGCTCAGGTGGCTGTAGTTAACACAGCCAGTGTAGGTATGCTGCAGGTTTTCTTGTTTTTTGTTTTGCTTGTATTTTATGAGTTGCTTTTAAAAAAAAAAACAAAAAACAAAAGAATACCACCTTGCCAAATGGTAGCACACCTTTAAATCCCATCTCTTTGGGAGGCACAGGCAAGAAGATGGAAAGTTCTAGCCCAGCCTAGGCAGCTTAGCAACATGTAAAGATCCTGTCTCAAAATAAAAAAGGCTGGGAGTGTAGCTCAGTGTGAAGACCCTGGGTTCACTTTTTTCTGTTTCTTTTCTAGTTTTCAAAACAATGATTTAATTGTTTAGCATTATCCAGTGAGTTTTTCTTTTTTCTAAATATTAGTATAAACTTAAGATTTGGATCTCTTCAATGTGTATCTGTGTATTTTTTGTTTTGCTTTTTGGTACTGGGAATCAAATTCATGACCTTGTACTTGCCAGGCAGGTACTGTGCTGCTGGGCTGTATGCCTGGCCCCAGTCTGTTTTGCAGGGTTGAGATCAGACCTGCACTAGGCAAGTGCTCTGCAACTGAGCTATAGCCCCAGCCACAGTTACTCTTTTCTGATGTGTCTCTTTCCAACTGTAGGTAATGTCCGCAGACTGTCTGCTCTTAGATCTTTAGTCTTTGGGAACACCCTTGGTTTCCAGAATAAGATATTCCAGGTTCTTACTGTTTTTCTACCACATATCTAGAATCAATTATTACTGAGATCCCTTAACCTGAATGCCAAGACTGCTCACTGCCACTAAGGTGTGCTTCTTTTAGGCCTGTCAAGATTACACAGATGGTCCCCATTCAAATTTAGGATAACAGGGTGGGTTTTTTTTAAACTATATTTTAAAATCAAGTATATTTGGTTTTGTGTTTGAGTATTTTAATACTGAAAATGAATATTGGGTGCTATCTATGTAACTTTTTTTTTTTTTTTTTTTTGCTTTATCCTATGATGTAGTAATTACTACATCATAATTAGTTTTGAAGTAGAAGTGCTGCTATTGTTACTTACCAGTATGATTGCCAAAAACTGGATAAGGACATGCAGTAACCACTGGGACAGTTAGATTTTGTGTCTTAAATCCTCATAAAGGGTTCTTTGTGGTTATACCAACAACCCAAGATTCAGCTAGCTTTATTGTTTTCTTCTTTTCCATTTTTAGAGAATACCTGTGCAGATAAAAATACATATACATAATTACTTATACTTTTTTTCTAACAAGGGATAATAAAGCTGGGCATAGAGTCCTGAGCCTAGATACCCAATTATTTTGAGGCTGAGGCAAAAAGATCATATCAACCCAGGAGTTCAAGGCCAGCCTGGGCCACATAACGAGACCTAGTCCAAAAACAACAACAAAACCCTAATAAAATGACCAGGGAAGGAGAGAACAGGGTAGAGGGGTAGTATTTTGACTTTGGAACTCTGTCAGTTCCATTTTACGTTACTATAAAACAAACTAACAGCGCTGCAGATTGAATATTTCAGTTTACCTTTAGATCCACCTGCTGGATTAGAATTGGCGACACCTATAACCAGGAGTCTCTTGAAGTATTTCTTGTGTTAAGCCACTTACCCATCCACACTGGGAACATGCATCCAAAGACTGTTATACCAGATGGGTGACCACGAGCTGCTGCAAAGAGTGAATCCAGTCCTCCTTTGGGAATCTTTCCAGAGAATCCAATCTTCCTTTTTAAACCTAGAGCATGATCATTAAAATTGGAGTTACCTGCCAGGTGTGGTACCATATGCCTGTATTGCCAGCTACTCAGGAGGCTGAGGTAGAAGGATAGGAAGTTTGAGGCCAGTCTGAGAAACATAGCAGGAACCTACCCCAAAATAAAAACAAGTAAATAAAAAAGGTTGATGACTCAGTTTAGAACTGGGTTCCATCTGATTGTGGAAAATATCCCCAAGACAAAAATATCCCCTTACATTTACTACTAGAATAATACTATTTATAGGATAAAGCAAAAAAAAAAAAAAAGTTAATGTAGTCAGCACCTAATATTTTCAGTACCTCAGAAAAATAGGAACAAGGGTTGAGAACATAGCTCAGTAGCAAGTGCAAGGTACTGAGTTCAACCCCCAGTACTGCAAAACAAAACAAAACAAAAAACAGAAAAATGGGAACAAAACACAGGTTACTAGCTGAGTTGTGGGAAATGACTGAAAAAGAAAAAGAGGAGGCTCTTAGGACAGGGTGTTAACTCCTGCAGGAAGTAGCTCTACATTAAGTAGAGCCTTGTGGAACCTGTGAGGCACTTAGGAATATTGTTCTAAACAACTTGCTTACAAAGAAGAGTCTTTTTGTTTGTGTTTTTTTAGACAGGGTCTCAAAAAAGTAGTGCAGTGAAGCCAGGGAGATAGCTCAGTGGCTTAAGCTCCTTCCTGGCAAGCACAAAGTCTTAAATTCAATCCCTGGTACCAAAAAGAAAAAGAAAAAGAAAAAAGGAAAAAAAAGTAGTACAGGCTGACCTTGAACTCACTATGTAACCTAGGTTGGCCTTGAACTCACAGCAATCTTTCTGCCTCAGTTTCCCAAGTGCTAGGATTACAAATGTATGCCACCATGTCTGGCACAAATGATCTTTTGATACTAGCTTGTATTTGAAAGAAAAAGAATTGGTTTGAGAGTCATTTTTAAATGCAGGAGAAGGAAGTAAGTAGAAAAACACTGATTCAAGCCTGTTTTGGGGGGCCTCACCCCCATGAGTCCCAGTCATCTAGGTGAAACTTGGCCTTCCCCTGGGCTAGACTTGCCACTGATCCTAGAGAGGCCACCCACACAGAGGGAGCCACACAGCCAAGCACTGGGAGTTAGCTCCTGCACTGGTATAAAGGGATCTGTCATGGTAGAGGGGCCCCAAGCACAGGCTGACAGAGACCTTGCTGTCCTGCAGATGGGCTATGTACGCGAATATATTCTGTGGGCAGCATCTAGATCCCAGCTTTTGGCGCACCAGTTTATCTGGAATATGAAAACTAACATCTACCTAGATGAAGAGGGGCACCAGAAAGATCGTGAGTATTTTGTCCTCTTTCTTCAGGCTCTCTCCCCATCTTCAGCATCCTCACCAGCTGCCCTGGGCCTTCTGTGGTCTCTAGAGCCCCTGTGGGTTATGCTGCCCCCACCAGAAGACCCCTCTGCTTCCCAGCCTTTGGTGAGGCACTTCTTGCCACTTAACAGCCTTTGTACATACCATGCAGGGCCCACCATACAGGTCCCAAGTGTTCCCCTGCTGGGGAGCTGTTTGTCCCACTGTACTGTCAAGTCATTCTAGGTCTGACACAGCCTGTGACTCTATGAGGAAGGGCAATTAGCCCTGCATAGTGCTTCTCAGGGAAACATTTGGGCCCCTCACACTCTTAAAAGTATTGAGACCTTCAAAGAGCTCTGGTTTATTTGGGCATTAGCCATCAGTGTTAGCTAGGATTAGCAGTTCAAAGGGAGGAATTTTTAAAAGCTATGTTTATTTACTACATGTTAACATAAAATAACATCTCATGAAAATTAATTTTCTCTAAAAAACTGAGATCTAGAAGAATAGGGTTGCTTCATGTTTTCATAAGTCTCAGTCTCACCCCCCACTGGTGGTGCTAGGGATAGAATACACAGCTGCAAACATGCTAAGGAAATGCTGTGCCAATGAGTGACACCTCCAGTCCTAGGCTTTTGTGATACCAAATAGTGGTTGTTTATAAAAATAGATCAGCGAGTTGTCCAAACCTTTGAAATATTAACACATTTCATTATTCAGTGGTCATTTGTCTCAGTGACAGTTCATATTTACAATATTGATCCTGTACAATTATAATTGTATAATCATAATATCATAGCACTACACACTCCTCAGGCATTTGTGGTGATGTTAGTCTAAGTGAGGCTACTGCACTGCCAGTCCTAGAAGGAAAGGGAGAGGGAGAGAAATAAAATGTTTGATGAAAAAAAGGGGTAAATTCAGCTTGAATAGCAGTTGCCAGGTACATCTCAGGACGTATGGGCTCCAAATCTCGCAGGAGTACTATGTGTGCATCCTGATTCATCACACATATTAAAATGACAAGTCCTCGGGGTAGGGTTTAATAAAATTAATTTGTATTGCTTCTCTAAGGACATGCCCAAGTGACACTGGGTTTTTTTTCTCACTGCACATAAGCAGCAGTGAGGAATCTGTGACCACCGGGGAACCTCCCCCTTCTTGGAGCTCTGCTCAGGCCCTGACACTTTTCCCACTAATGTGGCAGTTTCAACAGTGAGGGTGGTGATGGTGTGTGGCAGCCTCATCCCGAACCACAGACTGTACTCCCCACATCATTTCTGGGTCCCAGGAGGCCTCCAGCCTGAGTGCTGGAGAAATATGTGGGTTTCCCTGAAGGTCCCTGTGGCTTCCACAGGGATCAAGTCTCTGTCTCCTCCTCAGCGGACATTGGTGACCTCTTGGAACAGTTAGTGGAAGAGATTACAGGCTCCCTGTCGGGTCCAGCCAAGGATTTCTACCAGCGAGAATTTGATTTCTTTAATAAGATCACCAATGTATCAGCAATTATCAAGTAAGTGGCAGCATTTCAGAAACTGTTTGCAAGGATCTCTCTTAACTGTCCTGCCCTCTGTTGGAATTACCTGGGAGCTTTAAGAATACCTGTGCCTGCCCTCATTTCTGACCCTAGTCCCTCTGGTAAGCATGCACACCCATCCCTTTAAGGAAACCCATCTTTGTTTCATTCTCCCACCTCATCCCACAGTTAAGCTATTCTGTCTTCTCTATACTCGGGAAAACCAGATGCTCACAGTCCCAGCCGTTGTTAGCCTGGACTGTCAGTGCCTGGGGGTCTGACACTAAGGTTGTCAGTGTTACTGTTCATATGTATGGGATGACACCCTGGAAGCACAGACATTGACCACATGCCCAGGATGGGCCAGGCAGGGGAGAACTAAGCCCATTGCTTCTCAGCCTTATTCTCTAGGTCCTCTCCAATGTGCAGGTGGCGCCTATCTTGGTAACCACGAGGCCCAACTGTGTCTCAGTGTCCCTTCCCTAGGTTGGGCACTGAGCAGAACAGCAGTGCTGGCAGCTTCTATCCCACAGAGACAAAGGATTGGGGAAGTGTGTTAGATTTGCCTCACTGTAACAAGATACCTGGGATAATCAGCTTAAAGAGGAAAGGGGTATGGGGTAGAACATGTACTTAGCACACGCAAGACCTTAAATTTAATCTTCAGCAATGAAAAAGAATAGTGGTTATTTGGTTGATAGTGTTAAATGTTTCAGTCCATAGTCAGTGGTCTCATTCTTGGGCCTATGGCAAGACAGCACATCATGGGGGGAGCTGCTCATCTCCTGATACCCTGGATTAGGCTGATGTCCCATAGTCTCTTTCAAAGGGATGCCTTAGTGACCTCAAACATTCTACTAGGCCCCTCCTCTTACCGATCTCAACTACCTCCCAGTGCCAAGGTAGGGATCAAGCCTTTAACACATGGGCCTTTGGGGGACGTTCCAGATTCAAACAAAAGCCAGGAGATAACATTTTCTGGGCACCATCATGTGATAGGCACATGCCTCTAGTCACCCAGTGCCATCTTCATCCTAAGGCAGGCTGTCTGAGGGCCCTGCCCAAAGTGATGCAGCAAGTAAATTATAGAGATACAATTGAGCTCGGAACTGTCAATCCCAACAACTATCTGCTCCCAGCTCCCCAGACAAAAACACACACACACTGCACATGGGCAAGGGGCAGAGCCAGAAATTAGCCCCACTTTGGTTCTCTAGTGAGGAGTTTGGGGCAGGCACTGTTGCACATGGTTTCCTGACAACTTGAGCCTGATAAGGCCGGGATTAGCTGGAACTGGGAAGAGAAGGATAAAGGAGGGGGATCTACATTGGAATCCCAGAAAGTTGTTTTACAGAGGAGAGCAAAGCATTTCTGTCTTCTCAGGCCCTTCCCTAAAGGCGACGAGAGAAAGAAGGCTTGTCTGTCAGCCCTTTCTGAAGTGAAGGTACAGCCAGGTAAGCAGGCAGCCTGAAAGGTCAGCAAGACAGGAGGGGAGCCACAGCTTTCTCTGGGTAGAACGGGGAAGGCATCGAGATCAGAGCATGGCCAGCTACACACACACACACCACACACACACACACACACTTGAACCTTAGGGCTGCTGGTGTCACAAAATAGACTTCCTCTAGTCCTCTTACTGGTGCATTTACTAAGAAAGAGGAGCTTCAGTTATGAGGGAAGCTCAAAATGAAGGGGAAATAGGAGGACAGGTGCTATGCTGTTGAGGAGCAGCAAGGCGCGTCTGTGAGGCGAAGACTCAACACATCCTTGTAGACACAGCCTCTTAGAAACATCTGCAGGGATTGGTGGCTTTGTCAAGAGTCCAGGATAAATCCTGAACGACATCACAGAGCCAGGGAGGATGGACCCATCCCATCCATAATAAAGTCACTGTTGTCACAGAGGAGCAGTCTCTGAGAGCAAAGTGACTGCAGGGCGGACTCTGCATATAAAGTATGCATTGGGAACTGGCTTCCCCTTTGGTCACACGTGAGCATCACTGTTTGCATCCCTTCTGTCCCTGCACAGGCTGCTACCTGCCCAGCAACCCTGAGGCCATTGTACTAGACATTGACTACAAGTCAGGGACACCCATGCAGAGGTGAGTGCCTGTCCTGCTGCCCTCCTTGGGAAGTTTTATATGCTGTATCACAAGTCCTGTGTTCTTTCTCTGTGTTTTAGTGCAGCAAAAGCCCCATATCTGGCCAAATTTAAGGTGAAACGATGTGGAGTCAGTGAACTTGAAAAAGAAGGTCAGTGAAAAGTTCTGCTTTAGTTTGAGGTCTAAATGCTTTTCTTTGCTAATGCCAGTTTCTTTCTGCAGTTTATCACCAGTCCTCTATAAGAGATGGTTTCTGGCCACCCATTTGCCTGCTGTCTCATTTCTCCTTTGAGATGGTAGAGAGCTTGAGTGCAATGACAGACATGCCTCTCCTCAAAGTTTGCTGATATGTCCAGGAAGCCCCTTCGAGAGTCCAAGTAGTCTTGGCCTTTGTGGGGCTCACTGGTTCCGGGGCTGATGCACAAATGAGCATGGCAAGCAACTTCAGTAACAGGAACATAGTGTTCTTGGAGCCAGAAATCCACTGTGTCAGCAGGCTCTGAGGCAGGCTCCTTCCTTGCCTCTTCCAGCTTCTGATAGTTACCAGCAACCCTGGAATTCCTTGGCTAATACTGCATCACTCCAGCTTCTGCCTCTGCATGTCCTTCTCCTACATGGGTCTGTGTCCCAATTTTCTTAGAAGGACTCTATAACCTATCATAACCTCATCTTAACTTGATCATATCTGTTTCTATAGTAGTAGTGTGTGCCTATAATCCTAGGACTTTGGGACGCTGACAAAAGAAGATGCCACATTTGAGCCTAGCTTGGGCAATTTCATGAGACTCTGTGTCAATATAAAAAAAAAAAAATGTTTAAAAAGGAGTTAGGAATCTAGCTCAGTGAAAAATCCTGAGTTCAATCCCTAGTACTGGAATAGGATGTAACTCGTTATGGTCTGGGATCAATCCCCACTGCTGCAAAAGAAAAAAAAAAAAAGAGTTGTTTTTTTAGTTCAATATAAGGCAAAATGTTCTTGGGAAAAGGCTCCTAACTCAGTAATTTAGACACCCAGGGCATTTCTCAGGCCTTCCCAGGCCTCTTGGTCCTCAAAGACTTTGCAGAAGTAACCCCCAAGAATCCTGGGGTTCTTTATAAGAACATGAATAGGACTTGCTGTGTGCTGTCAGGTTTTTCCCTGCCCTTTGGCTGACAGGTGGCCTTTCTGCCCCATGCACAGGTCTGCGGTGCCGCTCAGACTCAGAGGATGAGGGCTGCAGTCAAGAGGCTGATGGCCAGAAGATCTGTTGGCAGGCAGCCATCTTCAAAGTGGGGGACGACTGTCGGCAGGTGACAGAGCAGGCCTGGGGTCAGGCTCCATGCACACCAAAGAGGGAAAGTCACATGCAAAAAACAAATCTTTGCTTCCCCTATTTCGTTCCATCTTTATTGAGTAAACTAGGGCTTCTGCCAAACCCAGAGGCCTCTCCTTCAGCCACTCTCCAGTGTCAACTTAGATGGAAGAGCCCTGAGGCAGGGAAGTCCCCTCCTTACAGACCCTTCAGGCAGTACTGCCTCATACCCAGCACAGCCTGAGGTGTGCTGAGGCAAGGCCTTTCAGACTCCTGGCCTCCCTCTTCCTTCCCTGACCACTTAGTGTTTGCCCTAGGTGAGCCTCAAGGGCCTGTGGCAGTTTTGTGGGCCAGGGTCAGAGGAAAGGTCAGTAGACCCCATCCTGCACCTCTCTGGTTCCCAGGACATGCTGGCCCTGCAAATCATTGACCTCTTCAAGAACATCTTCCAGTTGGTCGGCCTGGACCTCTTCGTTTTTCCCTACCGTGTAGTGGCTACTGCCCCTGGGGTAAGTTTTCTGAGTAGGAATCCAGCAGGGACCTATCAGTGCCTTTCACTTGGCAGTCCTCAAGACTCACCAACCCATCAACCCTCCCTTCCTCCCTGCCTTCCTCCTCTACCTCTCCCTAGTGTGGGGTGATTGAGTGCATTCCTGACTGCACCTCCCGGGACCAGCTTGGCCGCCAGACAGACTTTGGCATGTATGACTACTTCACCCGCCAGTATGGTGATGAGTCCACCTTGGCCTTCCAGCAGGTAGGGAGTAGGTAGGGGCTCAGCCCCAGGCTCCTTTGCACTCTGATCACACCCTCTCACCACCTGTTGGTTAGCCAGCACCTCTTCTGCTTTTTAATCTTGTGTTAGAGAATAAATAAGGACACCTTCCCTGGGTATCATAGGAGGCCAGAGCTGGACTCCCCAGGAGAAAGCAAAACTTGAGTATAGGAGGAAGGGCCTACTGATCTTGTACCCCAGATACCACCAAGCTCTGCTTTCAGGGTGGGCAGAGCTAGGGAGAGCACCTACAGGCCTATGGCCAGAGCCATCGTAAGCCCACAGCTCTCTCTACACAGGCTCGCTACAACTTCATCCGAAGCATGGCTGCCTACAGCCTCCTGCTGTTCCTGCTGCAGATCAAGGACAGGCACAATGGCAACATCATGCTGGACAAGAAGGGCCACATCATCCACATTGGTCAGCCAGGCCATAGTGCCACCCTCTTCTCCCTTTACTTTCCAGGTGGGGGGTGGCACCCCAGCGTGGAACTGGCATGCCTTGGGTTACCAACATGGGAGGGTCAGATGGAATATTCATGTCCAGTTCTGAGGTCCAGCCACTTGGCCAGCAGACTGTTCTGGGGGCTGCAGAGCTCTGGATCAGAAGCTGGAGCCAACAGAGCTGGGCTTTTCCAGGCTCAGTGCTGCCTCTCTGCTCCAGCCTGGCACCTGGCTCCACTTCCAGCTCTCCTTCCTCTGCCTCCTGCTCCCACAGTCAAGAAAGCATGGCCTCTGGCCTGCTTGTGTAAAGTCCTGCTGTCTTTTGACTGCCTACAGCTCCAGCTGTTCGTACTGCAGATCAAGGACAGGCACCAGTTACAGGGGGTCTTTGGGGTTTTTCAGACTTTGGCTTCATGTTTGAAAGCTCACCAGGTGGCAACCTGGGCTGGGAACCTGACATCAAGCTGACAGATGAGATGGTGATGATCATGGGAGGCAAGATGGAGGCCACGCCCTTCAAGTGGTTCATGGAAATGTGTGTCCGTGGCTACCTGGCTGTGCGGTGAGCATAGAGGATTACAGGGTGGACAGCCCCTAAAAGGTGGCAAGGAAAGGGGAATCAGGGTCGCCTTTCTCTGCACACCTGCACCAGCACTTTCTCCTCACCCTGCACCTCCAATTGCTGTCTGTATTCTCTGCTTAGCCTCCCTTATCCCTTTTGGGTATCACATTCATCCTTAATAGCTTAAACACCTGCCACCCCCTAATCTGCATGCTGGAGACTTGGTATTGCCCTGGTATCACATGATATGTCACCTGGCTAAGGCCATACAGCAGTGGTAACATTCAACAGCAGACTGCATGTGACAAGAACTGCCATGGATGGAAAAGTCCAGGAGGAGGTTGTTGGGGGGAGCTGCACCCAGGATTACCTTTCCCTTTCACATCTCTCCACAGGCCCTACATGGACGCAGTGGTCTCTCTAGTCACTCTCATGTTGGACACAGGCTTGCCCTGCTTCCGTGGCCAGACAATCAAGCTCTTGAAGTAGGTTCCTCAGCAGATACACAGGACATTTGAGGGACAGCTGTTGGCTGAGGCTTTACCTGAGATGAGAACCGTGGGACTGTATCTGCCTTGGCACCCTAGTGGTAGTGTTCCCGGATGAGACTCACTAGGCAGGAAGTCCTAGCTTCTGGCCATGTTAAGGACATGTGTAACCATCCTTTAGTTGCTTGAGGATACCAAACCAGCCCTCAGACCTGGGGCTCTAGTTGCTTGGTTCTTCTTTCCCCAGCCATGGGGCCACCTGGGTCCAAGAGATGTACTGCCATACCATCCCTAGCTTTTAGATGCTGGAGGTACATTTTCAGGGCACATCCTTCAGATAAACATATTCCCACAAATACAGAAGTCTATCTGACATGGGATGGGCTAACATGGGGTAAGATGTGGCAGCCAATAGCCCCTGCTTGGTTTTTCTCCCAGGCACAGGTTTAGCCCCAACATGACTGAGCGAGAGGCTGCAAATTTCATCATGAAGGTCATTCAGAATTGCTTCCTTAGCAACAGGCAAGTCATTTCACATACCCTTCTGTTCTGCATTTACCTATTCTGGACAGGTATTAGGGGTCTTGGAGTCCCCAATTCTCTCTTGAGAGTTTCAGAGAAATAACAGGTGCTGGTTTAGAAGGGATAGGGGAATGCTGAGATCAACACCTGGCAGGGGCTGAAGTTAGGAAGCTATACCCACCTGAGGTCAGGGTGTTCTGGGTGCATAGGGCCCTGAGAAAGGAGGAATCTCAGGATGATTTTGCTACTTAGGGAGGGTGTGACAGATACTGGAAGGCAGGGTGGGGACAATCTGTCATTGCTGAGACAGGCATAAAGAGGTGTAAGGGGAGCCTGAGAAGGAGGGCTGGATGCAGGTGCTAAAGCCAGAGCCCAGGCTGAGGTGTTTGTGTGGTGTGAGTCAGAGGTAGCTTTGATAACAGGGAAGGTGACTCCAGCAAATGGGTGAAGGAAGCAGTTGAGACTATGGGAGCTCTTATCAGAGGGATACCCTAAAGATGAGGGCAAAGGAGGCTGGGACCACAGGCTGTGACATGGAACACTCACAGGAACTGCTGAGTGAGCCTAACAGCAAGTGAAAAACCTGTCCCTAACATAAGGGCCAGGGCAACTCAGGCTGGGCCATAAGTCTAGAGATTGGAGAAACAGGAGGTGGTTTGAGGTAGATAGAGGCAGAACAGCATCTAGCAGTATTGCTGAGTAAGTGAAAGGGGCTGGGGGAACCCAGTAGTGTCTATTTATGGCAAAACAGAAAGGTTTGGCTGTGTGAAGAGATGCAGACACAGCTTCCTTTCACCCTTGCCACCTCTTATTTTCTAGGAGCCGGACCTACGACATGATCCAGTACTATCAAAATGACATCCCTTACTGAGGAGGGGCCCTCCAGAGCTCAGCAATTCCTCTCTATGTGGCCCCTCCTAAAAGCTACCCACAATCATGGAGTCTATGAGCACCTCTGCCCTTCATCTGGCCCTCAAGAAGCTCCTACCTAGTGGCCTCGCTGTTTTACCCAGCAGAGTTGTTTTCTAGGAAAAAGAACCCCAGGTGGTGCATGCTTTGGTGTCACCAGAGACTGAGTAGACAATCATCTCTATGCACAGATGTGAATCCTTGCACTGAACATACTCCCTACCTGTCTTATTACATAGGTACATGATGTATTTTCTTGTGTCTAAAAAATAAAACAGAATAATTATGTGTTTCTTAAGATTTAACCAGTCTGGACAAAATAACCCCTAAAGTCCTATGTAGAACTAGGTATGGTGGAGGTTTTTTTTTGAGATTCTGTCTCAGAGGGCTGGGGATGTGACTCTGAACCAAGTTCAGTCTCCAGTGATGAAGAAAATTAAAAATGTGACATTGTAGCAATATGGCAATTCATATATCCTGGTGAACTACAAATACGATTATACCATTTACACTACTGGAGCAGGGGAGTCTAAATCCATAGCTCAGCGGTAGAGCACTTGACTAGGAATACATTAACAATACACATATGCAGTGATGTATTATGTCCCAGGAAGGAGTTCAACCTCCTTGGGCCCAGGAGTTTGAGGTCAGCTTGGGCAACACAGTAAGAACTTGTCTCAGGAAATTTGATAGAAATGGTATTTGTGTAACTAAAAATAAAAACTTAAAGATTACAGATCATAGGTAAATTTACAAAAATCAATGGTGTATGTGAATATGACTGCATCTAAAACATCTATAATCACATGAAAGATTCATATGAAAAAAACCTGAATGCTGACAGAAAGGCCTAAATCAGGGTAATGAAAGTATATGCATTTATTCTCTCCAAATTGACATACTTTTTTTTGACTACACTTTTGCCAACCAAAATTGCTAAAAGTTTTGTATTGGAAATTGACAATTATAAAATGTATATGGGAATGCAAAAGGCAAAAGAGCTATTTCTGCCAGGTATGGTGGTACATGCCTGCAATCCCAGCACTTGGGAGGCTAAGACAGGAAGATTGCTATGAGTTCAAGGCCAGGCTAGCCTACATAGTGAGTTCAAACTAGCCTGCACTGTTCAAGAAATAAAAAAGGAAAAGGCATCAACACAGAAAAAAAACAGAAAATGACAAGACACAGAAGCAAAACTCAACACCCGAGCTTCAGCCTACCGAAGTCCAAGCAACAATGAAGGAGAAGAAAATGGAGGTGACCCATGAGAAATTTTTGAAATGATAGCAGAAGTTCAAAAACAGGCACAAGACTATAGCAGAAATCAGATCAGAAATAATCTCCCAGGTTAAAAAAAAAAGAAAGAAAGAAAAAGGATGACTATAATGAAAGACTTAGCAAGTGTAGAATAGATACAGATAAAAAAGTACACAGGAAAATGATGGAAATCATGAATGCCCACCAGAGACAAGAAATGGAATGCATGAAACATTCAAACAGATATCCAGGAAAACAAAAATTCTATTTAAAGTTAGCAAAGTCACCTCAACAAAAGTGAAAACAATTTCAGACCTGGAAGACAGGACTGTGGCTAGTGATCATGAAAAGAAAGCTTTCTTAAAAATAACAAAGGACCATGAAAAAATAGTCCAACAGCTACAAGATGGTACAAAGAAGAATGTAAGACTGATTGGAGTCTATGACAAAGCAAGAACCAGCACAAATGACATTTTTAAGAAAAAACTTTCACAGAAGTAATGGCTTCAAACTTCCCTGGCAGGGAAAAAGAATTTGGTGTACAGTAAGTGAGACATATTGAACTCCAAATGGCCATGACCAAAATCTACACCAAAGCATATAATAAAGATCCCAAAAATTCAGCACAAGAACAGAATATTAAAAGATGTTAGAGAAAAAAGAAATTATCTACAAAGAAAAGCCCATCAGATTGCAACAGAAGATAAACCCTCAAGTTAAGAGCTTTTTTTTTTTTTTTTTGTGGAACCAGGGATTGAACTCAGGCCCTTGTGCTTGTCAGGGAAGTGCTTATTCTACTGAGCCATCTCCCTGGCCCAAGTTGAGAGCTTGAGTGAAGTATTCCAAGGTATGCTCAGACAGAGAACAACCAAAGATTCATTACCACCAAACCAGCTCTACAATTGAGTTCTGGAAGTTTTGTAGAAAGAGATAATGTGCAGAAATACAAAAATACTAATAGGAATAAGCTACCAGGAAGAACAAACAAACAGGTAAGACAACAACCAACAGCAGATAATACAATGATAAAGATAATACGTGTCAGTTACAACCATCAATGTGGTCTCCACTCACCAATCAAAAGAAACACTGGCATAATGGATCAAGAAACAAGATCCAACAATATACTACATATAAGAAACACTAATTCAAAAAAAATTCACAGACCGAAAGTCAAAAGATGGAAAACAATATTCCATGCAACAGAAACCCAAAAAAAAGCAGGGGTATCTTATTCTGTTTTCAGATAATGTGAACTTCAAGCCAAGACACATCCAAGGAGATTTTAAGGTCACAACATTCATATTCAGGGAAAACTCCAAGACGAAGACATTACAATCGTAAATATATGTGTACCAAATACAGGATCACCTAATTATACAAAAAAAAAAAAAAAAAAAAAAAAAAAAAAAAAAAAAAAAAAAAAAAAATCAACTACTAAACACAATTGTAGCTTTAACACCCTGCTGTCACAAATAGATCAACTAGACAAAAAATATCAGAAGTGAGTGAAGCCTGGAATAAATGGACTTAATAGATGTCTACAGAATGTTCCACCCCACATCAGAGTACATATTCTCAACTGCACATGGGACAGTCTCCAAAATAGATAACTAGCTCATAGAACATGTATAAGTAAATGCAAAGGAATTAAAATTATCCCATGCATATATGTGTGTGTGTGTGTGTGTATATATATATATATATATATATATAAAATATATCTGACTATAGTGCAATGAAATTGAAAATCAATGGTACAAGAAACCACAAAAACTCCATAAATACATAGAAATTAAATAACACCCTCTTGAACAATAAATAGATCATGGATTTAAAAAATTGAACATTATACCTAAATATTAAAGCCAATACAACATATCAGAACTTATGAAATGTAATAAAAGCAATCCTAAGAGGGAAATGTATAATGGTGAATACCATATTAGGAAGACAGAATGAGCTGAAATAAATAACTAAATGTCAAATCTCAAACTTCAAGAAAACAAGTCAAGCTCAAAGCTGTAAAAAGGAAATTATTATAAAGATCAGAACAAATTAATGCAATTGAGACTAAGAAAAGTACAATCGATGAATCAAAGAGTTGGTTCTTTGCAAGATTAAACAAAATTGATAATCCCCTACCCCATTTTATCAAAAAAGACTCAAAGTCATGCAATTAGGAATGAAAAGGGTGAAATCACAACAGATCCTACAGAAATCCAGAAGATCATCAATACCTACTTCAAGAAACTTCATTATAAAATGGAAAAGGGGGCCAGGGAGATGGCTCAGTAGAATAAGCGTTTGCCTGGCAAGCGCAAGGGCCTGAGTTCAATCCCCAGTTCCACCAAAAAAATAAAATAAAATGGAAAACAGAAGAAATGGACAGATTTCTAGATACATCAACTACCGAAGGTGCATCGAAAAGATATAAAAATTCTAAAAAAAAACCAATAGCAATCAATGAACTTCAAAATTAATTAAAACCCTCCCAACAAAAAAAAGTCCAAATCCTGATGGATACACAGCTGAATTCTACAAAAAATATACAGAAGATCTAATGCCACTACTCAAACTCTTCAATGAAATGCAAAGGAAAGCAATATTCCCAAACTCATTCCTGGAAGCAAGTACTACCCTGAAACCAAAACCAGAGGAGGAGTCAATCAAAAAAGAGAATTACAGGTGAATCTCCCTAAAGAGCATAGATGCAAAAATCCTCAATAAGATACTGGTAGACGAAATACAGCAAATCATCAAGATTATTCACCATGACAAAGTCGGATTCATTCCTGGTATGCAAGGTTGGTTTAACATATGCAAATTAATAAATGTAATACACTGTATCCACAGAGCAAAGGACAGAAAGCACATGATCATCTCAATAGATGAAAAAAGCATTTGACAAAATCCCAACACCCACTGATGATAAAAACCCTACAGAAAATTGGAATAGATGGTGTTTATCTCAGTCTGATAAAAGCCATCCATGGCAAACCTAACATCCAACATCGCACTAAGTGGTCAAAACCTGAGTTTTTAACTCTTAAAGTCAGGAAGAAGACAAAGATGTCCACTGTCACCACTCCTATTTAATATAGCTGTGGAAACATTAGCCAGAGCAATTACACAAGAGAAAGAAATGTAAGGAAAGGAATAAGTTAATTATTTGCAGCTGACATGGTACTCTACATAAAAAACACCAAAACCTTTTAGATTTAATAACCAAATTTAGTAGCTGAATATAAAGTCAATATTCAAAAATCAATAATAGTCCTACACAAATTCACTGAGAAATTAGGGAAACCACACCCTTCATGATGGCATCTGAAAAAAAAAAAATTCAGGAATCAATTTAATGAAGTAAAATAACTACACATTGAGAATTACAGTTATCTAAAAAGAGACTGAAGAGGATATCAGAAAACGGAAAGATATCCCTTGCTCCTGGGTAGGAAAAACCAACATAATGAAAATGGCCATACTCCCAAAATTGTTACATAGATTTAATGCAATCCCAATTGAAATACCATTAGCATCCCTCATAACTTGAGAAAACATTTATAAAATTCATTTGGAAACAGAAGATGCCTAGAATAGCAAAAACAATTCTGGGCAACAAAGGTGGGAGAAGGGGGTGCATTACATACAATCCCTGATTTGAAATTATACTATAAAGCTACTGTGATAAAATCAGCACAGTGCTAGCAAAAAAGACCTGAGGACCAATGGAACAGAGTAGAAGATGCAGATGCAACTCCAAACACGCTAGCTTGGTTACTTTTTACTCATTGCTGGTACAAAATACCTGACACCCAAAATTAAGGAAGGAAAGTTTTATTCAGCTCAGTTAGTGGAGGTTCCAGCCCATACTCGGCTGGCTCCAAAGCAGAGTAGCACATTGTAGAAAGCAGCAGTTTCTGGCAGCCAAAAAGAGCAATGGGGAGAGCAGTAGCAGCAGCTGCCTCTTTCCTGTAGGCAAGCTACTATGGGTTGGGGGTGTAGAACTAACAATGTCCTTGCCCTCCTCTTGCACAGGATGAGGATGTTTACAAAGTAAGAACCCTGGATTCCTACCGATTCAATTAGACTTCTAAACTATATCAACCAGTACACATGCTCAGCCACCTTATCCTTACAAAGAAGCCAAACATGTTCACTGCAAATAATATATGCAAATTAATAAATGTAATATACCATATCAACAGAAGAAAGCCTCTTTAATAAATGGTGCTGGAAAACCTATTTTTCCAGATGCTGAAGACCAAAACTAGACCCACGTCTATCATCATGTAGTAAACTAAAATAAAAATGAATCGAAGATCTAAGTATTAAAATATTAAATACAAAAACATTAAATCAACTGGAAAAGAAAGTATATAGAAATCTTTTAAGACATAGGTGTATGCAGAGTTCATGAACAAAACCCAGAATGCATGGGAAATACTTCGAAGAACCAACAACTGGGATCTCATTAAAGAGGTTTTGCAGGGCCGGCAAGATAGCTCAGTGGACAAAGTGTCTGCTTAGGCAAGCACAGGGACTAGGGTTCTATCCCCAGCACCACATGCCATGTAGGCCCCGCCCCTAGGTGTGCTGAGCTGGACACTGAGGCTTAGTGTGGTGGCACATACCTGTAATCCCTGCACTGGGGAAGCTGAAAACAGGAGGATCACTATGAGTCCAAGCTGTACCAAATACATTTTTTAAAAAAGCCTTTGCACATCAAAGAAATCAACAGAGTGAAAAGACAACCCACAAAGTGGGAAAAATTTTTAGCCAGTTATCATTCAGATAGAGGCCTTACATCTAGAACATGAAAAAAATGAAAAAAATTAGGCCCCTCCAAATTCAAAGATCCAATCTAAAAATTGGCATCTGAGGTAAATATGTATTACGGATAGCATGTAAATATATGAAAGAATGTTCAACATCATTGGTCATTCAACAGATGCAAATTAAATACTGAGATTCCATCTCATTCCAGAATGAATAGCTGTCATTGAGAAATAAACCAATAACAAATATTGGAGGCACTGTGGGGAAAAAGGAGCACTTCTCCACTAATGGAGAGAGTACCAGGAATATAAGTCCAGCCAGGTCTCAGAACCAGAGCCAGAGGAAGTAATGGCAAGGATGATGGCATTACAGCACTGAGAATTTAAATCAGCTGTGATTGAGATGCTATGGGCTATAAAAGATAAAGCACACAACATGCAAGAATTTATGGTCAATGTAGGCAGAGAGACAGAAATCCTAAGGAAGAACAGAGTGAGCCAAGCCTAGTGGCATAAGCTTGGAATGTCAATGCTATGGATGAGGCAGGGGGATTGCAAGTTCATGCCCAGGCAGGCCAGTTTAGTGAGACCCTGCTTTAAAATTTAACAAATAGTTTGAGGATGCAGCTCAGTGAAAAGGCTGGAAGTACTTGGGAGGAAAGAGAAACCTATAAAGAATGCCTTTGGTGGGTTTATTAGTACATTAGATATGGCTGAAGAGGGAATCTCTGAGCGTGAAGACCTCTAAATAGAAAGTGCCAAGGAGCTGGGGATATAGCTCAGTAGTAAAGCTCCACATTTTAAATGTGGAGAGCCCTGCATTCATTTCCCAATGGCAAAACCAAAAATAGAACACCCAAGAACGGCAGGACAACTACAAATAGTATAGCACTCCTATTGGGAGCATCAAAAGGAGAAAAACAGAAGCAATATGTGGATGACAGATCTTCCCCCATGCTCAGACAAACCGCAGATTCCGGATGCTCTAAGAACACCAAGCAGGGTGAATACCAAAAAAGTCCACACCTGGGCATATCATATTCAAAGATCAAGATGCCAAAGACAAAACATCTGGGTTTTTGTTATTGCACTGCTCACAGTACTGAAGAGTATAACACCCTCTGCACTAAGCCACATCCCCAGGGTCTCCCTGAGCTGCCCAAGCTGGGCCTGAACTTGTCTTCCAGCCTCAAACTCCCAGAGTGCTAGGATTACAGGCAGGTGCCACCACACCCAGCCAAAGATAGACTAATCTGAAAGAAGCCAGAGGAAAAGCATGTTAGCTGTACAGGAATGAAATTCAAATTTACATTCAACTCTAGAGAAACCACAAAAGCAAGAATGGAGTGAAATGTTCAAAATATTGGGAGAAACCCCACCAATCTAGAATTCTGCAGTCTGAAATAATGCTCTTCAAAAGTAAAAGACAGCCAGTTGTGGTAGCACACTCCTCTAATCATAGCACTCTGGAGCAGAGGCAAGATTATTGCAAGTTTGAGGCTGGCCTGAACTACAAAATGAGACCCTGTCTCAAAAAAACAACAACAAAAGAAAAAAAGACTTTTTTCTTTTAAATAAAAAACTGATGAAATTTGAGGGTCTTGAGTTTTATTATTGCTCAGTCTGGTTTCCAATTCCCTGGCTCAAGCAACCCTCCCACTCAATCTCTTGAGTAACTTAGATTACATCCATGCACTATCATACCGAGGAAGAACTGAGGGAATTTGCTGACAGTAAACCTGCCTTGCAGGAAGTTGAAGAAGTTCTGTGGAGAGAAGGAAACTGTTGTAGATAGGAACTCATTCACATAAAGGAAAAGCATGAAGAAGTGGATGAGTAAAGTAAAAGTTATATAGAAATTTTATTCTTTTTTTTTTAAATTTATTTATTTTTGTGTGTGGCCAGCTCAGCCCAGCGGGGGGCGGGGCTGGCTGGCATGTGGTGCTGGGGGATCGAACTCCGGTCCCTGTGCTTTGCCAAGCTTGTTCTAAGTAGGTGCTTTAGACCACTGAGCCATCTCTCCAGCCCCAGAAATTTTATTCTTCTAACAGTTTGATCAAAATCATAATAGTATAGCAACAATGTATTCAGTTTATATGTAAGTACAACAAGCACCAGCTGTGATACCAGAAATAAATGGGAGGGAATAGGATTAGTTCATCATAAGGCACAGGCACTATGGAGGTGGTACAGCATTATTGGAAAGTGGACTTGGAATAGTTGTAAGTATATTGCAAACTTTGTGGCCACCTTCTAAAAACAGTTAAAACAAAAGTATAGCCAGACATGGTGGCACATGTCTATAATTCCAGCTTCTTCAGAGGCTGAAACAAGAGTGCAAGTTCAGGAACAACTTGGGTAATTCAGTGAGACCCTGTGGCAAGACAATATTTTTCAAAAGCCTAGGGATAAGACTGGGCGTGGTGGTACGCACCTGTAATCCCAGTGCTTGGGAGTCCGAAAACAGGTGGGTCACTATGGGTCCAATCTGTGTAGTGAGACCTTGCAGATCCTGTACTCAACACATAAAAAAGAATTTAAAAAGCCTAAGGATATACTGCACGTACTGCAGTGGTAGAGCCGTTTTCTAGCACAGCTGAGGCCTCTGGGTTTATTCTCTAGTACTGCTCTTCCCAGGAAAAGTATAATTGATATGCTAAGGAAAATGGAGTAATATAAAATGTTCATTTAAGAGCAAAAAAAAAAAGGGGGGGCAATAATAGTAACAAAAACATCAAATAGAATATTAATATTACACCATACATCCTCCTGTACCAATAATCACTTTAACTGCCAGTGATCTTAGTACATCATCAAAAGTACTTAGATCAGGCAAGTCTGTACATCAACAGCAGAGGTTGTGGAGGACTGTGGATCTGTGCTGTGAAGGAAAAGGAGAATGGATACCACAACTCCATTCCAGGCACTAAACAAGGAAAATAGCTCATAAGGTGGTTGGAGAAGTTAAGGAGTTCAATATGTGAGACCACTGTGAATTATGAAGGACCCAATCCTGTGGACGATGATGGTGACTATGATTACAGAGGGTCATTTGGGAGTAAGGGACAGGCAGGAGGACTAAAGTGAGGTAGATGAGCTAGGCAAGATGGAATTAACATCTTTACTCTGTGGTGTCAATTACATGAACATGAATCACTAGGAAGATGTTCCCTAAAAGTGGACCTTATTCTGTCTTCTGGGCAAGGGGCTTTGTCTTATACCAAGGCTCACAGCTAAGAGTCTGCCTTGAGTTTGAAAGGAGACTTGGCACTTGCAAGCAGGCACAGGTGCCGGGGGTTTGATCCCTGGGCCTGTAGTGCTGGCCCCACCCCTGAGGGCACGCTGAGCTGGCAATTGAGACTGGGAGGAGTGGTGCACGCCTATAATCCCAGCTCTTGGGAAGCTGTAAACAAGTGGATCATCATGAGTCCAATCTAGTACTGAGACCCTGAACACCCTATAGAAAAAAAAAAATAAAGGGAGACTTGGGCTTTTTAGCACTGCTTAAAATGTTAAGACTTTGGTGACTTTTTTTTTTGTATTTTAGGGAAGGCTCTGCAGGGTGTTCAGGGTCTCACGCCCAGTCTCAATTGCCTCCTCAGCATGCCCTAGGGGCATGGCCAGCAAGCAGGCCTGGGGAACCCCTGGCCCCTGAGCCTGCTTGCAGCCGCTTTAATCCACTGAGCTAGTTGGCCAGCTCTGGAGACTCTTAGAGATGGGCTAAATACATTTTTACATAATGAAATAGACATGAGCCTTTGGAAGGCCAAGGGCAGGCTGTTATGCAGATCTAGAAGTTCACCGAGTTTCATTTCTCTAGAGGTGGGGCTTCTGGATGGTGATTGGGTCTGGAGATGCTGTACTCCTCAGCAGATGGATCCATTAACGAGTTCATAATTAAATGTACTACTAGGAGGTGGGGCCTCTCTGGAAGGGGCCTGTCACTGGATGTCTCTCTTCTCCGCTCCTCCCTTTGTTTTGATTAGTTTTTCTGCTACTGGTGATTTAACCCAGTGTTCCACTGCTGAGCTGCAGAGCTGGCCCTGAGTCTAAACTGTGTTTACTGTCCTCTTCCCTAGCCGGCTTGCTTTCTCCCCTCTTGCCAAATCCTACTCTTTCCTAGGGACCAAGTAGCACCTCCTCCTCCTGGAATCTTTCTATGATGATTCCAAGATGCTTTCCTTTCTGCAAAACCTTCTTGTCCCCCTTTCACTATAACCCTTACTGCATAACAGTGAGGGATGCCACTCAGGAGGTGGAGCACCTGCTTAGCATGCAGGAGGTTCTGGGTTTGACTGATTCTGACCATCATCATCATCACAAGCTAGTCTGGTCTTTGCAGTCATACCACACACCTAGGAGTAAGAGGAAAGCACATTTGAGTAATGCAGTTCAGGCTCAGGCTCTAGATCCAGGGCCAAATAGCTACATGACTTTGGCTAGATTATGTGATGTCTTTGAGCCTTAATGTCCTCCTTGCCTGCAAACAAGGAAAATAATTAAAATGTTGTTGGTTATTCTGAGGACTCTAATGAGAAAGATGAAGTAGAAGAGAGGGCTGAGCAGTTGCCACCATTCCACTGGCATTTAAGAAGACACTGCCATCATAGTGTGGTGTGTTAGGATCTTCCAGCCACCTAAAGCTCATTATGTTGTTCAAGCTGGCTGGGAACTGTCAGGGATCCTCTTGCCTCAGCCTCCCCTGTTGCCCCAAACCTGTGGGACAGCATCATCTCTCTCCCTGCTAGGGAAGGAGAAGTACCATGGCAAGGCAGCAGGAAGAGAGGTGTTGGTTGGGAGTCTAGGACTGTGTTTTCACTGCAGGCCAGTGATGGGCTGGAAAAAGCCCTCCAGTGTAGCCCTGGCCATTTCTTGGAACAAGCAGGCTGTACTGAGCTCAGTGTGGCTTGGGGTCTGGCTCATTTGCTAGTTACTGATTGGCCAATAAAGCAAAGCTTTTAAAAAAAAAAAAGAAAAAAAAAAGGTACTTAGAAGAAATATGAGTGTGGAAGTCTAGGCCTGTCCCAGCAGACAGAGGCTGAGGCAGAAAGATCACTTGCATCCAGGAATTCAGTGCCAGCCTGGGCAACACAAGGAGACCGCATTTCAAAAAGAAAAGGTGTGAAGGGACTAGATTCACGAAACTCTGTTTCATATAAAACCTACCTCAGTGTGAAGACCTAGTATTCAATCCCCACTACCACCACCACCACAAAAAAAAAAAAAAAAAAAAAAACGTTTAAACATCGTTGCAAAAACGTGTGTATATGGAAGTCCCATTCACAGTTTCACTACTGTAAAATAAGCTGAGCATTATGGTATAGGCAAAAAAGAAAAAAAAAAAGGCTCATTTCCACGGAGAACATTTGCATGAAGAAAAAGAAAATTACCCACGCAGCCTGAAGTCCTGAATATGCACTGGTGGCTGTGCTCAGGCACCCAGAAAGCGAAAGGGAGCACAGGAAGGCAGGTGTGTGAGGTGCGTGAGGATGGGAAACTTACCCAGAGGAAATGGGGCTGCGGGAAGCAGAAAGACCACAAGCACCTGAGCAAAAGAAACCATAGACTCCATGGAAAACCCGACCACCCGGACCCGCTCCTCCCCAAGGCTCAGGCATACCGCCAGGGGGGCAAAGGATTTCAGTAAGAAGTTGACCACCAGTTTTCGAGTTGGTTGAAGTGCAATGGCAGGAGGCTGGGAGAAAAGCCTGCCACAGACCCGCGAGGTTTCCCGGACCAAGCAAGGCCCAGCGGGAAGGACTGGCACCCTAGCCAGTAAGGAGGGACACGCGAGCCCCACCCTCAGCCGTTTCCTCTAGTCGCTCCAGGAACCACACGGGAGACAGAAGGGAGACGGCCACAGCCGGCGTGATGCGCTCTAGTGTGGCGGCTCGAGCAGCGGGGACAAGGTATAGCGCAGAAGAAGGGATAAGGTGGCGTCCGAATGGAAGCTCGCAAATCCCTGGTGAATGGTATAGGGCTTCACTAAGTGGAGCACCCGCAACACCAGAGTCTGCAGCTCGCCCAAAGCCTGCGGGCGCACGGACAGAGGAAACCTGGAAGGGGCCTGCAGCCCTACGAGTCCGTCGCCTGGCTCACAAGAGAAGCCTCGAGCTAGCGCAGCCCGTCGAACAAACGCTTCTCCTGAGAGAAGAGGGACCCGCGTCCCATTCATTCCGGGGTCCCTCGCCCAGGTCTCTCCGGAGGGGAGTCCCACCTGCAGAAGCGGGCAACGCGATCGGCCCCGGCCCTTAGCAGCCGCCCCGCCACACCAAGAGTCCTAACTCGCTTACGCTTCCGAGCCGCCCCGCCAGGCGTCCAGCGCGGCCGCCGCCTCCATCACCTTCCCCTGCAGCTCCTGGGGCGGGCGGGAGTGAGGACTCAGGG